GCAGTTATATTTATATCATATCTGCATATATTCAAGCACAATTCACAGTTTGTGAGCTTGTCTAAAAGAAGTCAAAATGGACCTAATAAAGAGGCTGGTGTTGGAGTGGTTGCTAATCTGTATAACTAACTTCTCAAAGGGATGGAGAAAGAAATGCTTGGGGTTGATAAAAGGTTTCCTTAGTAAATTATAACTGGCTCCAATGAAAGGCATTTACAATAAACACAAATGTCTGCAAAGCATCTGTTTTACAGAAGAAATGTTACTCTGTGAATAAGTTCTAAAAACTTTGCCATAAATAATTCATGTCAGCAGTTCAAGTTCTATTATCAGTCCCCGTCCTTTCAGTTGGTTATTTGCAGAGAGAGAAGCAAAGTTTTTTTCTGGTTTAAGTTGTCCAGCATTTGAAACGGGTGCTTGTATAATTATACACTTACATACATCACCACCCTATTTTTCAGTTTAACAAAACAACTTTGATAGAAGCTTGGGTTAAAAACTACACGTAATGTTGACATCATATTCTGCTTTTAGGGAAAATGCATTAAATGTATACTCAGTTTATGAGAGTATATGTATACATAAAATACTTTACAGTGGAACTTTACACTTTATTAGAGATTTATCAACTAAAAGCAAGATTTTAACAGTAGTAATAATATTTTTTTAAAAAAAATCTTTAAGGTACTTAGGGAAAAGCATGTAAGGTCACTACATTTAAGAAAGAGTAATAATAAGCATCTGTGCTAGATTTCCACATGATCACAAAAGAATTGAAAGTAAAAGTCAGGAATCCTTCATTCTGAAACAGGAAAATTAATTAAATGTATTTTGATATTATTAACTGTAATAACTATAAAATATAGTTATAAAATATAATTTGCTATACACAAATATGGAAATCTGAGGTGAAGTATAGTCCTGTACTGGTTCCAATATAAAGTTGAAACAGCATGATTAATACACTGCCTATGTACAAGTACAATGTTATTTATGAAGTGATTTTAAACTTTATTTGAGAGCACCTTTCCCAAAACACTGTAGCCTCCAAATTTATGTATATTGGCAGTGCTGACTTCTGAGAACAGTTTGCTATGGGGGGGCATTACAATGTCATCTATTCAACTCATAAATGACACCCCCAAATTCTTTTAAAGCAGTTTAAAAAAACAAATACAAAAATTGTTATAAACATTGAAAAAAATTGCCTTTAATCACAAATGTTACCCAAATACAAAATTTTACAAGTTCCTCAAAGTGCAATTTTAGATACGGTGTTTTTCTTTGTGAACCATCCAGTCATTTATTTAGTAAAATAAGTAAATAAATTTTAATTTACACAATTTAAAACCAATGTAGGTTCTTCTGCCTATATTTTCTCTTTACTGATAATCTATGCTTGCCAAGGGTAATTGGGGCCAGGACTCTATTGCTAAGTGATACAGTCATAATGTGAGATATCACATCACTGCATCAGCTTACAACAACAGAGCTGGCAGTCCTAGTGGTCACTGTTTGGTGAACAGACACAGTTCATTCACACCTTCAACATATGCAACCTCCTGCCAGCTTCCCATTGACTTTGCTTGTCAGAAGCTGGCAGGGAAATGGCAGTTGTGGGATTGCAGAACACTGTGGCATCATCATTGCAAACAACTTGCTGAATGCTCAGATCATGATTAAGTGACCTTGGGGATGCTTTAACAGTGTAACAGCCACAACTAAAAGGACCAGTCATAAGTATGCCCTGTTCAGTACCATTGTAACTTTGGACAGTCTCTGAGCAAGCCAATGTTAAATGAGGATTACTTGTAAATATATCTGGAACAGATGCAAGGTGTTCAGTAACAACCAGAACTTTACAAAGGGTTTTGCCTATTCTCTGAATTGTCTGAAGACTTGGAAAGTAAACATTTTAAGAAGAGTGAAAGAAATTACTGTCCAGGTGTTGACACATTTTTCTCCGTAAATTATACAGTTAGTGCAAACTTTGTAAAGAGATTTTACATAGATTATAAGACTACAAATGCTCCAGTTTCTGGTTATTCCAAATCTAATTCTATTTGGATCCATTGAGCTATAAGAGAAAGTTTGGAAATCCTGGTTTGAAATAGCCCATTGCTAATTATGTGTAAACTTTGCTTGTTCTTTTGTCATTTTATTTTCAAAGAACTAAACATGTTCTACTCATTTAGAAAAAAGTTAAATACTTGAGTGCATCCAAAATAACAGAATAACAGAGTTGGAAGGGACCTTGGAGGTCTTCTAGTCCAACCCCCTGCTCAGGCAGGAAACCCTACACCATTTCAGACAAATGGTTGTCCAATTTCTTCTTACAAACTTCCAGTGTTGGAGCATCCACAACTTCTTGAGGCAAGTCATTCCCCTGAGCTATTGTTCTGCAGGGAAATTTCTCCCTAATTCTAGATTGATTTTCTCCTTGATTAATTTCCTCCCGTTGCTTCTTGTCCTGCCTTCAGGTGCTTTGAAAATAGGTTGACTCCATCTTCTTTGTGGCAGCTCCTTAGATATTGGAACACTGCTATCATGTCACCCCTAGTCATCATTTTTTTCCCAACAGTCATTCTTTGTATGTTTTAGTCTCCAGTCCCCTAATCATCTTTGTTCCTCTTCTTGTACTCTTTCTAGAGTCTCAACATCTTTTTTACATCATTTACACCAAAACGGGATGCAGTATTCCAAGTGTAGGCATTATAAAGTGGCATTACTTCATGTGATCTTGATTCTATCCCTCTGTTAATGCAGCCTAGGACTGCATTGTCTTTTTTGGCAACCGCAGTACACTACTGGCTCATATCATTAAGTATGCCTTTATAATGCATATAATGCATATTATTAATTATGCCTCTATTTAACTTATAGAAAGCACAATAACACAAGGCATATGTAAATAACCTTTGCTCATAATCAGGCAGTATAAAAATATCTTGCAGTGAAAACTATAGTAAGGAAAGCTGCCATTTGAACAAGAATGCTTTCACTATTAAAATTTATGCAGGGACAACAAAAACTACCTTCAGTGACTACATTTGGAGACAATTTCTGTGCCTATCTGTCTTCATGAAAAGGAATAAGTATTTGTTAAACAAAAAACATTCCATTCTACTTCATTCTTCTGCACAGTCTGCACATCAAGAAATTCAACTACATGCATTTATTTAGAAACATCAAAATGGGCCTCATGCCTTGCAATTACTTTTTGCTCTGAATAAAGGAAGATTTTAAACGTTTCCTTTGCTTATTCCATGTTTTATCACACAGCTTAATCACAGAGGAATCCTATTAAAGCTACTAAAAAAGCATTGTGAAGACAACTGGAAACTTTAATAGTAAATCTAATATTTTTATTGCAATTTCCTAACAGGTATGCAAAATTGACGGTTGTATTCTGATAAAATCTTACTCTCCCATATACATGCATTTCAATGTCTCCTCGTTAGCTGACATAAACAGAGAAAAAGAAATAAATAAAGGTCCAGTCCATAGTGACTTTATTATACATTGTCTGAGATCACTTATATAGATTCACATCCAATCAAGCTTCAATAATAAGCTGCAAAGGATAAAACTGAATAAAAATGGCCCCAAAGCTAGAAAAAGACTGATAGAAGTATTGGCCCACCTCTGTGTAACATAAGGAATGAAATGTGCTATATTTGCCCGAAAGCTTCTTGTTCATCTCTTGTTTTGGCATGAAATGCAGCTTGAACAGCTGAGACAGAATTCCAGTAGCTAGGAGTTACCTTCTTTTGGCATCTCTTCTTCACTATCACATCTGATTAAATCTTAGTAAGCTTTTGCTCCATTAAAGCTGGCAACTATATAATTTCCCTAAAGCCCACATTTTTAAAAAAAATGGTGCCAATTTTTATTATTTGCACCAAATATACCTCAAAAACTTTACTGCAAAACAGGCTGTAAAGAATGATGCTGTGCTGTAATCTATACAGTTGTTTTATGATTTAATCAAGATTAACTCTTCCTAGAAAAATAGTTTTAGGAAATGGGATCCAAGGCCAGTTAAGGCAGGCATGCCCAACCCAGAGCCTCGGGCCTCATGCGGCTCTGGACAGTTACAAATGTGGCCCCACAAAATCATAACTTTTAAAGGAAATTTGTTGTTTATATGCATTAACTATAATATATATTTTATATGCGATGCAAGACAATTTCTCTTTACTCAGTGCAGCCCAGGCAAGCCAAAAAGATTGGACACATGTGAGTTAAGGGTTGTTTGTGTAAGCTTCAATATGGCACATCCTAGCTAGAAGAGGAACCACGTGTGAAAATGAGAATGTTCTTCTTAGATCTTTTTAATCCAATTGGGCCCAAGTTTAACCCATGATCAACAGTTTGTATTCAGACCAACCACTTTTTGTTGATCTTTAGATCCTCCTTTGGTTGTACTATTAAAAATCAGCAGCAGACCCTTAAGCCCAAGACCAACGTTTGTACAGTAATACAGTGAAAACTGTATTAAGCCTTGCGTAGAAAAGCTGTTTTAAAGAAACATAAAATCACCTTTCCAAGTAGTAGGAAAGAGCCAAAAATTCTCCCTTCAATAAATGTAAGATGCAACATTCAATTAACATGTCAAGGATCCAGAATTCAGCTGTACTGCTGGCTGCTTTGCATAAACTTTACTGAATGACTGGTAGGCCCTGTGTGAGGAAAGGAGTGTACTATGACATGCAGAGACACCCACTCCCCAAGATAAACATCACTCATATAAAGTATAATAGTTTACAGTTAAGTTCCACAGAACTGCTAGCCAGAAGTTAAAAATGGCATTGCCAAAGCATGGGGATCACTTTCAAATGTTTACATTCTACATGCCACTTGGGAAGTGGATTGGAGAGGAAGACCACTTATAAAACTATTACAGAAAGTAAGATTGCAACCATCCTGTTTCCATTTGTTTTTTAGACTCTGCAAAAACCGCAGCTGAATTCTGTTCAAAATGAGCATAGTTTCCTTACCTCTCTAAGATGGATGTTTTCCTTCTCTTTCTGGTCTAAGATCACTTCTAGATGATTAACCTGAGATTCCGCTTCTGCCATCCTTCGAGTTCTTTCATTTTCATCGTCCATTCCTTTGGATGGCAGCCCTTTGCTTTGCAGCATTTCTAGAAGCTTCTTGATGGATTCATCTCTGGCATTCAGCGTCTGCTTTTGGGTTTCTATTCTCAGCTCCATTTCTTCCAAGGTTTTTCTCAAGAGAAACAACTCTTTTGCCTGTCTATCATGCTCAGCTTGAAGTCTTCGGAAATTCTCCTCTGTCAGTTCAATGGTAAAATGCTCAGCACCTCGGTTACCACTTTCTTGCTGAAGGAGATGGTTAAGGTCTCTCTGCGTTCGAAGTTCATCTTGGAGCGCCTGAATAGTTAGCTGAAGATGCTGCAATGAAAAAGAAACTTCTAAGTAAAGATTTGATTCAAGAAGTAACATTCCAATCATTAGTAAAATTTCTGGTGAGAATCTACACATGACAGTGATGCTATTTGTTATGATACTTCTTGGCTGCAGTTAGAAACCATAAAGAGATGAATGAAAAACACAAACAGTACAAATTACACATATTACCCAGAGTGAACCACAAACCTTATGACAAGGAGGTGAAAAGAATAGTGTTAAAAATGTAAATGTTAAAGACTGGCATTCCATAACCAAACACTATATCTAAAAAGCCTTAGAATTCAGGTTTGGTTGGGGTGTAGGAGGGAAGAGAAGCTTACGCATTTTCATACAGTGCAACTGTGCTAGTGATTAATGTTAATCACGCCATATGAAAGTAAAGGGGTTAAACTGTTAAATGAGGTTGCTAATGAAAGCTATGAGCCACTTTATCAAGCAAGATTGTTGCAGCTACTGAAATAAGCATATCAAAAAATCACACATTAAGAAATGCTACATTTTGCAAACAAAACTGATTGCAAAAAGTGAACAAACCTTTGTTTTCCTGGCATCCAAAACCTGAACAGCATGAGAAATGGGGAAAAAATGAAGCAAAATCAACATAAAGTTTAAATGCAAGCAAAAGCGATTCAAGCAAAAAAACTAAAGCTAACTTAAAGCATCCCCAACAAAAAACAAAAAACAGTGTTGGCTTATGCAGCAGCATTACAATTCCATAATATTAATACATGCACCTGCCCCTTCATGCAATCAAAAATGCAGTTTTGCACACAAGACCAAAATAAGTTGAGTTGGATTCAAAGTTTCTAACTTTGATGATTCAAAAATCATCTCCAGCAATATTCTGCACATGCCCTTGACAATGCTAATGGATAAATCTGTAATCATCCTTCCTGATTTGTCTAACTGCAACAACTTTTAACAGATAGGGGCATCTGTGGAGGTGGGGAATCAGAAAATTCAAGATGGGGGAGTGACTCCACACTTGAAGATCTTTCTCATAAAGAAAAGCTGTGCTTTCAACTACAGAGTTACAGCTGCCATCTTCACTTTTATCCCAACCCACAAATGCCCCATTTACAGGTGAAAAAAATGTCTTTTAATTTTATTTTGCTTTTTCATGCAGCATATTTGTGTCAGTATGCACAAGACACTTTGGAGTCAAGTTATAATTCGTGGATTGACTAAATTATTTACTCTTGGTATCAATCTTCATCCACATTAAATTCAGTCACGTATTTCTCCTACAACAGTACATTACCATCTCAAAATAATGCGTTGGGTTGAATGTTCTTCCTTCACACAAAGAGCTGGCATGTCAGATAATCATATTAAACACTGGCATATGAACACTGAGTATTAATATTAACAGGATTTATTTTCATGTTAGTTATGTTTCTAGATTTGGTAGTTTAAAATTGTATTTTACTTACTTATAGAGTACTGTTTAAAATTAACATTCATGTTTAAGAATTGATTGTACAAGTTAGATTGTATAATGAGGCTTCATACGTTGAAGTTTAGTTTTGAAAAATTGGTATATGTGTTTATTGTTATCTACTGAATATATATTAGTCCCAACTTACACTATGGATGATCCCAAACCTCATGAAGTTCTATTATATCTTATTGCTGAACACTGAAGGTAGAAATTGCATCTGAAACCAAAGTTACTGTTAATTTGTTTAAAGATTAATGTCTGCTGTTAGTTAATCAATTCCCAAAGCCAGCTGGCAATTACATACAGTCTTTCTGTTATTCGGAAAAATATGGCAAGTACAGCAGAAATAAAAAGAACATCCTCTCTGCCTCCCAGCCATCATCCAGTTACATGATGGAACACAATTATAGACCAAATTACTAACAGAATTCCATTTCCAGAATGTACTGCATTCTGGTTTACACTATTAACCTAGGTTGAAAAAAATTCTAAACCAATCTGAGGAGTCCCTCAAAGAAGTGTACATTCCTCCCATCAAGATGGTTTGTTTTTCTGTACTCCATCCACTCCACACATACACACATATACAAAGATCCTTAGGATAAGACTGAACATACTTATGCAGACAGTAAATGATGCAACGTGGTTTTCAGGTATCCAATTCGAAAATATTGATGCAACTAGTCACAAAAAGGCCTATTTTAGAGAAAAACAGGGAAACTAAAAGGTAAGTCATTTGACTGAGAGGAACATTTGCTAGACCAATACTACAGCTCATCAGTCTGGAATCCGCATTATATAACAGATATTAATACAGTTGAGAAAGTCCAGAAATATTTCATGAGAAGAGTTCTCCACTCCTCTACTCGTAGCAGAATACCTTATGCCACCAGACTTGAAATTTTAGACCTAGACAACCTAGAACTACGCCGTCTTCAGTCTGATCTAAGTATAGTATATAAAATCATACATTGTAATGTCCTACCTGTCAATGAATACTTCAGCTTCAACCACAACAATACAAGAGCACACAATAGATACAAACTAAAGGTGATTGCAGGAAATACGACTTTAACAACAGAGTGGTCAATGTCTGGACTCTGTGGTTTCTTCCCCAAACCCCAAAAACTTTAACCTTAGACTATCTACTGTTGACCTCACCCCTTTCCTAAGAGGTCTGTAGGGGGCATGCATAAGTGCACCAATGTGCCTACTGTCCCTGTCCTATTGTTTCTTTTTTATTCATATCCATTTCATGTATTCATACCCATGCTTATACTTATACTTGTTATCTAATACTTGCTTGACAAATAAATAAAATAAATAAAATGACTATAACAAAGAATAATCGTGTTGGAAGGAACCTTGGAGATCTTTTAGTTCTCTTGCTCAAGCAGGAGACCCTGTATCATTCCAGATAAATGCTTGTTTAATCTTTTCTTCAAAACCTCCAATGATGGAACATAATGTAACTTCTGGAGATAAGCCTTTCTGTTTCCAGTGTCAGGAAATTTCTCCTTAGTTCTAGAGCGGATTTCTTTATCCTGCCAGTATTAGTTCTTATTCATTTTGTGTGCCAGGTTGGAAAAATGGGGAAGGGAAGCTAGTAAATTTATTTACAGTATCTATTTATTAAATTTATATGCCACCCATATCACTGTCAGGAGATTCTGGGTGGCTTATAATATATAAGCAAAAATTGAACCATTAAAATTTAAAAAACATTAAAGGTTAAAATTAAGCAGATACAGGCTTTGATTTGCAATATATAAAATCACTTCTTCAAACTTATATTTTCCACTCTTTTAGTAACATTTCCTTCCTCATTTCCCCACCAAAACCATTCCTAGCACACAGTATCTATATACATAAGCTTCACTCTTAGCTTAGTTATCCATGGATATAGATGCTTATACATGCCTAAATACCAGCACACATCTAAATCCTTTCTAGAAAAATATATGGGTGTATGCCCAACTGTTACATTTATTCAAAATAATTATGGAGGGGGTGGATGTTCTCCCAAATTAGTGGTGAAGTGGAGGAAGTGTGTTTTAACTTCACTGTTAAATTGAGTAACTGAGTGATGAGTACAGACAATAAAAGTAACTGGCTGAAGGAGACAAAAGAGAAGAAAAAGCTACTTCAATTCAAGAGGGACAGGGAGAGAGATACTAATCCCATACCTTCTGACTTTTGCAAAGAAAATAACAGAAAGATGAAATCATGCAAAAAAATCATCGAATGGGTTATTTCAAGCAGTTGAGCTGAAGAATACTGACTTTACCTTCCACTTGTCAACTTTTCTCATTTAGAGGTTCACTTCATGGAGAGATTCCTCCATCCATGGAAAAATTCCATGCGAATCAAGACTCAAAAGGAGGTTGATGGACAAAGAAGCACTCCACTGAAGCACTCAGCCTTTGTACCTGAGAAGGATGGCAGAGTAAAAGAGGATAGCATGCTGGCAGCACTGCTCATGCTCAGCAAACTTATTTGGATTAAGAACCATAGAACTCAATGGGTCTTTCTCAAGCAAAAGTTGGAAGTTTTACATTAGCTAAAGTATATTTACAAGAGTAATTATGTTCAAGCAATGTTTTGTGCACATATATGAAAGGGGGGGGGGAGTAAATTAATATCAGAGATGGAAAAAATGTGCAGAAGAGCAACTAGGATGATTAAAGGCCTGGAGACTAAAACATATAATGAATGGTTGCAGGAAAAGTTTTTAAGTAAGCCTTCTGTTGTTGTTGTTGCTTCTATTCCATCATGTTCTATATTCTCTTGGTGCCCAATGCGGGATTAGTATTCACAGACTCCCAGTTTTTAATCTGATGCCTTAACCAGCACACCAACCTGGCTCTCTTGTCAATCTAAAGATCCACTTTTGCAGGAAAATAGAGAAACAAGGCCATAATTCTACTTACAGCTCATTAGAAGGCAGCAATTTTACAGTAGCGCCAACAGGTCATGGCAGATGAAGATTTCACAGTCTCAGTTAACCCCAGGATGCTAGGAATGCACTTCAAAGTGGTTACTGTTTACTTCATTGAAGTTTCTTCTGTTCATTAATACTTGTTTTCACTGGCAACTGCATACAAGAGTTTCCCACTCATCATATATTTTCTATTAGACTAAACAGAACATTTTCTTTTCTTTTTTATCTCATTCTTATTCGGGAAAATAATTCCTTTGAATCTCCTCCAACAACTCGGATGTTTCTTATAACAAAGCTGCCAAGACCTGATCATACTACTTCAGCCTTTGCTTAATTTTGTAACTGTTTAGTTATTTTTGAACTTCAGACATTGTTACTATATTTCCTCTCTTTCACAGTATTCCTTTATCCTGCTATACATGTATCCAACCTCTCTCTCTCTCTGTCTCTGTCTCTCTCTCTCTCTCTCTCTCTCTCTCTCTCGCTCTCTCTCTCTGTGTGTGTGTGTGTGTGTGTGTGTTTGTGTAATGTGTGTTGAGCTTCTGAACTTGAAGACCGAGACTAATCCCTAACAATAGTTCACAATGAAAATACAAATATATTACTGGAATGTAAGATTTGAATCAAATTGTTTTAAAAGCTATTTGTATTATACAGAGCCTCCTGGATTAGTGTAGTGGTTAAGCCACCAGTCCTAGAAAGCAGGCAATGGCAATTAGTGTAGTGGTTAAGTCACCAGTCCTAGAAAGCACACAATGGCAATCTACTTCTGAAAAATCTTTCCAATAAAACTTCAGGGACTGGTCCAGGCCAGAAGTAAAAAATACCTGACTCAAAGACACATATAACATGAGATATCCTGTATAGAGGATAAAAGAATACTGTGAAAGACAGGAAATATAGTAATTCCTGCAACTGAAGTCTGGTCTTCTCTTGATGGAAAAATGGAACCTACCCTTGAAAAGTATCCAGAAGTTTCAAATGATGCAAAATATGACCGCAGGAGCTATACTGGCAGCCCGAAAAAGGGCGTATATAAGATCTCTGCTCTGTGAACTGCACTGAGTGCTGGTGTGCTTGATCTGGGTCCAATTCAAGATGTTGATCATTACCTATAAAACCCTGCATGGCCAGGTTACCTATGAAACCAGCTTCACCCAAACATATCAGCCCATC